AAGGGGTGAAGGACTGAGAGACTGAAGGTGCTACAGTGCTGCCTGTGGAGGTCACTGGGAGAGGAATGCTTTTTTCCCTTTAATCCATTTTTGTCTTACCTTTCTTAGCAGCCTCCATTTTACCTTTCAGTCCTGTGTAAGGTAGGCTAAAAATTTTCACAGGAGACAGAGACTTCTTATTTCTTTTATTATATTGGTAACAGAAACTAAAATCTAGAAAGAAGAAAATTTTAAGCTGTAGTGTCCATGTCTTGCCAAGGTGGATGTTGAAGTTTCCAAGTGTGATGTTGCTTTTTAGATAGCACAACAATGACTTATACCTGGTTTTGTATTATAGCAACATATCAATTAGTATTTCACAGCTACCTTATAACCAGAAGTCATCCAAACACAGATAGGAAGAGGTGGAATGTATTCCAGATAGTTATGCTTTTGTATGGCTCTGTTGTTCAATTGAGACATAAGGACATAAATTTTTATAATCCTTGGCAGTAAGCTGTTTTGAAAAATTGCTAATCTTTTCCACTTTCTTTGCCAGTTGTCAAAACTATCATGATAATAACTGACTGTATTAAAGAAGGTTAGTTTTATAGTTAAAACTCCAGGCTAGAACTCAGCAGATATGTTTCCATTACTTCTCCTGTGGAATGCTCACATGGATTAAGGGTAAGTTGCTAAACCTCTTTGCCTTTTTTTTTTTTTTTTTTTTTTTTTTTTTTGTCTATACATGACAGAAGGACAAATATTTTATATTATCAGAAGAACATTAGGTTTATGTATTGGTGGGGGGGAGGGCATAGGAATAATACTACAGTACAAATAGAATAATTTATCTCTTGAAAGAAAACTAGATTTTAAAAATGAAGTACATTTTCTACTGGTCTAATTGGCATCTTCCCCTCAGATTTCACAGAATGCATGGCAGTGAGCCCCTACCTTGCTTTGTGTAATTTCCCATCAGTTGTTTTAAGTCTTGTCTTGTACTTGCTTTTCTGTGGCACTAACTGAATGGGAGATTTATAATGTTTAAATATTACAAATCTGAACCTTTTTTTTTTCCCTGCTTTCCATAAAAACATGGAGTGAAACTGTCACTGCTGATTATTTGAGGGAATTTTACTAATTAGAATTGCATGAGAATTCAGGCTTTTGAGCTGTCATCTGTTCCATCCCCTTCCCAAGTACTGGAGGTTTCAGTAACTTCAGATTTCACAGTTGTCTTAACTATGTTACCTATCCTGGCAAGAGATCTTGGACATAACATTCTGGGGTCAATTTGGCAGTTCTACCTATGTCTGGGAAGTTTTTCTGCTTCTGCAAGCAGAATTTGGCCCTCATGTGAGGTGTAACCTTTTGGGTCCTTTTAATGCAAATGGGCTGAGTTGATTGCAATGGATCTGCTTGTTTCAGGGAAGGACTGAGTTTTATGGCTGTGCATCTCCAGGTTGTGAGTTCCAAAATACAGGATTTGGGGTTTCTCTTACATTAAATGCAAAGTTTGCAGGTGTTGGGATTCTCACAGAACTGTTTGTGGGGGGAAAGAAATAATGTTTTGAAAGAGAAGTATTTGAAAGTATGAAAGCTGAGTTGCATGAAGGGCTATATACCTATAGCCCACACAAACGTGGCAGTATAACTAGAGCTCTGTGAATCTAGTTGCTAACATTTCTGTGGTAAAGTGTATCTGTGTAGTGTGGCCTCTGTTCAGTTATTGAGGGTGCCTGTACAGGTTTTGGCTCTAAACAAGATATTTGGGAAGGAAAGCCATGCAATGCATCCCATCCCTGAAACCAAACTGGAGTGGCGGATATTTCTGTAGATGAGCAACATGACACAAATGCTTGATTTTGTTTGTGCAAATGAGAGGGCCTTTGTGATGCAAAGCAGCATCCTCAAAAGGCAAATGTGCTTTTTTGGTTGTAAATATCCCAGCTAAATACTGCAGTAATTGCAAGCAGAGCTTGGCATTTTTCCTCTCTATTCTCTTCATCGTTATATTTTAACAAGTTCTCATGAGACTATTAAAATGTCTTAGTTTTTGGAACATGTGGCCTAGTGGGGATAACTCTGTCTACAGATGCAGTGGGTTGGCAGCTTGATTTTGCATGTCTTTTCATTTCCCCCCAGATCCTGTGACCCAGTGTAACCTTTGGTCTCCCTCTGAAGGCCCGGGTGAGGGAACTATGAGCAGGTGACTGATGATCACTGTCAATACAGCCTGCAGACAATATGGGAATTACTTTAGCAGTCTCCCACTCCCTTGTGCTCCCCCCATCCTCTCTTAAATCAACAAATGCAAATAGCAGCTTCCTTATTTGCTGCTATCTCTGGGATGCTGCCCAGGCAGCATGGGCTTTGTTGCAGTCCTGCCTTTTAAAAAAAGCAGCTTCAGCCCTAGGCAGAAGGAAAAATATCAAGTGGGACCTGATTCCCCCCACCCCCTTAATGGTTAATGCTGCTCTCATATTTGGTCCCCTGGTGTATACAGGTAGGAAGATGCTGAGATAAGGTAGTGCTTGATGTGTGTGGTTAAAGAGAGCAGCAGGAAGTGGCTGGAGCTGTTTGCATTTTATTCTTTGTCTGGTGAATGTCCTTCTGGAAGGGAGTAGGGATTGCCCAGTGTCCAAAACTCATACCTGTGCTCCTAGAACCTGTTGACTTGAAAGTAATGTGTATTTAACAACAGCTATGTCTTTACTGTGCGAGAATAGAAATGCATTTGCTAAATTTCAGCATATATAGAAGCACAAAGAATTTGTTAAACAGCATTTCTTTACAAGGTCATGATTCTTTTGTTCTATGCATAGTTGTGTGGCACAATAAATAAAAATAGCTGCATTTTATATTGTTGTAGGTATAATATAATATGTAGTATTGTACTGTACATCATACAGTTGATACTGTTTTGCTTTCCAGATATACAGCTTAATGTGAGTTGTTGAGAAATTCAGGAGCATAAGAGAAATGCTGTGCCAGCATTTGGTTAAAATTATGTTCATCTTGTTTTGTCATTGCATATGAAGATATGTTTTGGCATACATAAATAAAAGGAAAGTGATCACTTGTACCTTCAGAAGGTGGTCTTCTCAGATACCTTGGGATATCAGGTCTGCATCTGATGTATTAGGATTGTAACCAGCCATAATGAAGAGATTTCTTCTGCCATTAAGGAATATTAGATTAGTAACTGAATCAGGCAAATAGCAATGTATGTAAATGCTCCTACTGCTTTAGAAATGTGTGTCAGTAGTACTTATATTTTATAAGGACATCTGTGTGCGGTGTATATTTAATCTTAGTGAATTTGAAAACAGTGACATTTCCTATTGCAAATAATAACAGTTAACTCCTGAATAAAGATACAGGGTTAAAGGAACAGTTGTAAAGTAAGTTACTGGACTGTTAAGTTGAATATGATTCATACAGTTAGACATTAAAATTGTTACTCAATCTTTAAATATTTTATTTTCTCAGTCTCTCATTTCAAAAGTATCTTTGTGGTTTATTTTTTTTTTTTTACTTGCTTACCAGAAAGCTTCAACATACTAATATTTTCAGGGAAGAAAGATTCCAAATTCACAAAAATCCAGAATTAACAGCCCCTTGTGCTCCGTTTCCATTACGAGTAAGACCTTTGAATTGGGCACTGGTGACCAACAGAGTCAAAGTCTGCTTTAACTCAAACTTGCAATACTTCTCTAAATTATCTCACATTAAGTTTATGGTATTTAAAGTTGGGGTGAATCACATGAATTTCACAATCAGCAAGATGCAAAAGGCTGTGATAGGGGCAGTGTGACACTAGAAAGCTGTCTAATTTCAGTGTAAAGGTTTCAAATTATTTCAAATATGCTGTGTGTTTCTTTCCCATACCTCTGAACAAAAATATGTCAAAAAGTTTCCTTATTTCATCTCTACTTATCTGTCCTGCAATTTATGCATCTTCTGCCTGCCAGTGGTTGAGCCAACAGAATGGAGTATTTGTCTGCCACAGGGACTTAATATTTGCTTTTTGTTGGCCACAGGTGCTGCTGTAGCATGTTGCAGTACATCTTTTCATTGAGGGTGTGTTCAGCATCCTTTTGGTGTTCTAATCTGTCCATTGGGAAGGGAATTGGTAAAATAAAACTGTCATTATTTCAGAGAAGAGTGAGTTGGTTGGAAGAGACCTGTTTATTAGGAAGTTTTAATTTAATGAAATCTGGTTACATCTTAGAGCCTCACACCAGATTATAATGCTATCACAGCATATGCATATTGGAACATATCCAAGTGGATATCTGTTGGGATCCCATATTGAATTGGAATGGGAGATTAACCCATCTCATGGGAGAAAATTGCTTCAGTGTTAAGAATGAAGAAAAATGATACTTTGTGTTTGATTTTTGGAATCCCTTCTTCAAAATGGCACCAGGTAGAAAAATCTGGGTATGGTTATGTGAGCTTAACTTTCTAATCCAGTATCTCAGACAAATACTCACAGAAGACATTTTGCCTGTCATCAGTTTCTCCTTGTCACTGGGATGATTTTCTTTGCTGCTCAAGGTTGTTTCATACCTCCCTAGAAGTAGTTTGCATGTCTTGTAGTTGTGGAAATTGCTCTTAGCAGAAAAGGGATGTATTATAAGCTGTATAATTTGTGAAGTATTTTTGAAGGCCTTCTTGATGAATGGCACTTTATAAATATTGTAATTAAATTATGGAAAGCATTTATAAGGTGAGTGGATTAATTCTTGAGTTTTATCCCAATTTTTATTTGAATGTTTTTCTCTTAGGAAAGTCCCTCTAAAAGAATGGGTACAAAGAGTTCTCTCTTTGGCACCAATGAAGTTCTGTAGTTTCATGCCAGCTACTTAAGTTCAAAGTAAAAAGTATATTCGTTTTACAATGTAAATTGTGCAGTACACTTTTATTTTTTTAAGCCTTTGTTAGAAAAGTTTCTTTCCATTGTTCATTTTGAGGTTTTCCCCCCCTTCCCTTTTGTTTTTGTTTTTCCTCAGTTTCCATTACAAAGAGCAGTGCAAAAATCCAATCTTCCCCTTCCAAAGTGACCCGGCGTTCAATGCAGTCTCCACAGAAATCTGCTCCAGTACCAGCGCAGCGGGGCAGGAAACCAGGTCGGGGCAAACCCCCTGGACAGTCTGCAGTTCCCAAGAAGGGCAGGTCTCCTAAAAATATTCCCCTGACAAAAAGCACCTCTCATACTGAAAATCTTAAAACAAGGAAAAAAAGTTTAAAACCTGGAAAAAAGGTTAGTCCTTATCTACTACTTTACTTTATTTTGCAAAATTTTGCAGTGAGATTTTTTTTATTATTATTACTTAATTTTCTATCTTCTCTTCAGCCTTCAGGGCTTTACTATTTTCAGCAACTGATTACAAGAAAAAAATTAGAATAGCTCTTCTGGAATATTTTAGTGTAAGGTCCTGTGGATTATTTTATTCCCAAGCAAGATTACTGTTTTATTTATGGGTGAGTAATTGGTGTTGAAAAATGCAATTCGGAAGTAGAGAGACAGGGAAGCATTTAAACTTTTTAGTTTGAGTTGGTTTGTTACTGAACCATATATATAGCATGTGTTTTTTGGGGTTTTTTTCAGGTTTAGAAACAAAGAATTAAAACCAGTCAGGACTTCATTGCGTAATAGGCTTCTTAAGCATACAGCTGATTTGCCAAATGAATCTCATGGATACTCCCTAATTCTGGAGCTACTAGCATGAAGCAGGAAGCTTCTTTTTCTCTAGATGTGGGCCTAATTCTGCCCTGGTCTGAAAGGCATGATGCCTTTCTCCTTGCCCAGCTGAGTCAGACCTGGAATGTTGGCAGCTGCCTCCATCTTCAGCTCTGGTGGAGCTGTTTGCTCAGGTACACACTGGGACTGCTTGCTCAGGTACACACTGTCCCCTCACCCCACTTCCCACTGCCACTGCCACCAACGCTGACAGATGAGCAATCTCCATGCGAGCCAGTGCAGGGAACTCAGCTGGTAGACAGCTGGCACAGCATCCATCCCTCCTACTTCCTTCTTTGTCTGCTCCACCCCAAAAAAGCCCAAATGCTACAGCTGCTGCAAGGAAGAATAGGATCACAGCAGGGCAGACTTAGGGCAATTTGAATTGCTGTGGAAGTACAGTCTATTTTCTGAGGCTTGCTCATGCACAGCAGGCTGTCCAAGAAGAGTAGCAGTCCTGCAATGCCTTCCCTCGGGCAGTTTGAGTCTGTCCTTGTGCTCCTTCCTGCTTTGCATTAGCACTAGTGAGGAGATGGAGGGTAGTGCTTTTTCCTGGTGTTTTTTGGTGGGTTTTTTTTTGTGTTCGTTCCCCTTTCCTCCAAACAAGGATCAAGCAGTAGAAGTTTGGAGGCTTTTCTCCTCCAGTCTGTATCAGTGTGGGCTGTGGGATCTATTCCTAATAATGCGTGGGAAGAGGTGGAGTAATAGCAAGGTGGGGATTCTCCCTTCTGGTGAAGGTGCTGATCAGTCTGAAGTGCTAGTGAAGTAACATTACTAGAGCATAGGTGGAAGCTCTAGTATGAAACTGGAAGCAGCACTTCATTGAAATGATGTTCACAAGATTAAAGAAATTATTTTGGGGACCATAAATTGAAAGCTGAGCACTCTTCTCTGCTGCCTGTCCCTTGCAGTCAGACATCCAAACTGGTAGACTATTGATGGAATTGCTCTCCAGTTTTGTTTCTCTCTTACTTGGTGTATAAAAATGCACAGCAACAGAGATTAAAGAGGAGAAAGGTGCTCCTATCCAGGCTTAGCTGGTGGGTGGGGTGTTCTCTCTAAGTCTGAACTGGGCTTTAAAGGACACCATTGAACACAGGACTGTCATATTTTCAGGTCTTATTCAGGTGTGGCAGGATGTGCACTTTCATGTAAGAATTTTAGCTCTCATTAAAAAGAAATCGAGAGGCTTTATCTATGTTTTGAAACAGTAGTTGGAGGCACCTTGCTATTAGAAGAGGCTTCTGGGCCCTGGGTGTCTGAAAGTGTCTGCTTGGAGCATTTGACACCTGGTTTGTGTAAAGTGCTTGGAGGTACTGTTTGGGGAATGGGTGTTAGTGCTGACATAACCCTGTCCTGAGGCAGCAAATCTGTGGTACCTCTATGCATTCCTGATTTCCTCTGTGGGACCAGGCAACAGACAGGTTTTGCAAAATCTAGGTTTGATACATCTAATTTGTGATTTTTACTTTGTTAACTTTAGCATTAAAAACTTGAAAAATTAGCTCTTTTTGAGAATTCACAGAAGGCTGTCACTGCTTTGGTGAGTGGTTAAATTGCCAAGATGTTATACATATGTGCAAACTTTTCTTTGGACTATTACACCTGTTAGCATAAGGGTAAAGAGAGGAAATGGGGCTTTGTGGGAGTTCTACAGTCAGGGTGTGTCTGACAAGAAGTGCAGCCATACAGCCTGTACACCTCACAGTATGTATGCAAATATGCAAGTGGTATGTGCCTAGAGGCTTGAAAGTGCTTTTTTTCTTCCATCCACCCCCCTAGACTGATGCAAAAAAACCCTCTCCAGATGTTACACTAAATGGTTGTGCTTCAAGTGTGAGCTCGCTATTTGGTGTATTTAGGGACATTGATATCTGCCTCTCTCTCTGCAGAGTTGTTTGAATTTCTTTGCCCCTTCAGGTTTGTTATGCTGCAGTATTTATCATTTTGCAGATACTAACTTATATTATCCAGCTAGAAATATTGAACTGTTACATCATTTTTCTCCTTTAATTAAATTTTTTTCCAAGCTCTGTAAGTATGAGATGCATGTTGGATTTTGTTTTTCATTTGTTTCTCACAGCTTGCACTGTATGTTTTTACTCTTCCATAGTAAAGAAGGAACCTCTGCACATCTCTCGCATTATATTTAAAAGTACACTTTATGCAACAGTGCAAAGAATTCCTTTCAGAATTTCTTGAGGAAACCCCTTGGTCTGAGTGTGGGTACCAGCCCCACAAAAAGAGTTTTTAAGCAAGCATGAGGGTGAAGCTGGTGAAGTTGCCCTGGTGGTACAAGCTGTGAGCCCTGCTCTCTGCAGGTGACAGAGCTGCCGTGCCCTCCCTGGCAGGGGCCAGCCAGACCAAGCCACTGTGCCCAGCCCTGCAGGGCTTGTGGCCTGTCTCACTAAAAACACGGCTCTGGGCTCACAGCTGGAGCCTGTCACGGGGTTTGCAAAATCAGAACCTCAGCTGAGCAAGCATAATGTGTTATATTGCCTTCTGAGGGAGAAGGTAGGAAACAGCCAGCTAGTCTCACCTCATGTGTGCATTGGTTTAGAGAGTGGATGGTTCCTCTTAGTTAAATGTTTGTATTTCATTCCTACATTTTTCCCCATTTCCTCATCTTTTCCCTCAGTTTGACCAATACCAAAAATGGGTATTTTTGGTAGCATTGTGAAAGAAAACTGCCCTCCTCCTGCTGCAAGAATCCCTGCTAGAGGGGGCCTTCAGGAATGTTGGACTTCAGATCAAAACCTCAATCTTCCCAAGTGCATTTTTTTATCCTTATGTATTAAAAGATGGAGACCTATCTGTACCCAGTGTTAAGATAAATGGTCAGTTCCTGACAAGTACATCACTGCTTTGTTCTGTGCCACCTGTGCCACCTCATGTCATTCACAATGCAATGCCTTGGCAGTCTGTTCCTTATGTTCATGGTGATTCCACCCAGTGCCATATTGTCAAATACTTTCCCCAGCCAAACCTGTCTTCTTTGACCTGTAAGTGGCACAGAATTTTTCTTTAAAGTGCTCTGGATTTCAGATGAAAATTGATTTCTTCTTTCTAGGTGTTGTGAAGAAGTTAAGCACTGCTTCTTTTAGGAAGGTATATATTCTGATTGCTTTCTACAAGGTTTTCAATAAATTACTTGGACAATAGCCTGCTTCTAAAAGTTTAGAGGACGAATGCTGCCAAATGGAAGAGGGTTTCCTTAAGAAGCCTTCTTTAGCAAATTGACTGAAGTTTTACTTCACTATATATCAGTTTTAATGGTAAATCCGTACCACATTACCACAAGTCTCTGCTGTGTTCAGCAGTGTCAAGACCTTGGGTAATCTCTTACATTCCTAATTTTTGCTAGGTAAGAGAGTCAAAAAGTAATCTGTTCTCATGCAAGAATAAGTGGTGAAGGGAAAAGTGATGAACTCTGATTTATTATTTCTTTTATTTTGATGTATTTTCATAGTATTTCAAAACACAGCACTCTTCTCTGGTGACCAGTGACAGGACATGAGGGAATGGCCTGAAGTTGTGTCAGGAGAGTTTTAGGCTGGATATTAGGAACAGGTTCTTCACCCCGAGGGTGACTGGGCACTGGAACAGGCTCCTCAGGGAAGTGGTCACAGCACCAAGCCTGACAGAGCTTGAGAAATGTTTGGATGCTCTCAGGCACATGGTGTGACTCTTAGGGTATCCTGTGCAGGGCCAGGACTTGGACTCAATGATCCTTTTGGGTCTCTTCCAACTCAGGACATTCTGTGATTCTGTGAAATGTCTTCCATGTGCACATCTCTTTCCTAAACCCCAGTCCAAACCAAATTAAAACAAAATTATCTTTTCCTCACGTGGAGAAGGTAATGCACATGGACAAATCTCTAAATTGCTGTGCTCTGAACTCTGGTTATCTGTCAAATGATAAGCTGCAAATAAGTTTGCTTTGGGAAAGGAAAAGGTTTTGGCAACTGGCATGACTGGATTGTAACTACAGGCTTGTTTGATCTCTTGCATGAAGCACCTGATGAAGTAGTATATAAAGCTCTTTCTTTTCCCACTTTTTAGGCAAAGGCGGGTTCTTTTCTAAGTCATTTGTCTTCCACTGCACTGCATTACTAAAGTAGCTGTAACTGCAGACTGACAGTTTCTGGTCTTCCTTTCCTGAACTTTCCCTTCTCTGCTGTGTGTGGTACTTTTCTAATGAGGAACCACCTACTTTCATTAAGATCATAACTGATAGCAGGAAGGTTGTGCAGACTCCTTTAAAATCATTAAACATTTTGACTCAGTTTTTTTTTTTTTTTTCTTTCTCTTAACAGAAAAAAATCTTGCCAGAACAACTGACTCCTACATCTCTTTCTCCTCAGTCATCTCCTGAGGGGGAAAATGGCACTGCACAGATACTGAAAGATGGAATCACTTTGTCTGGTGCAACTGCAGCAGTTATATCCACAGGTAAAAAACAAAGAAATGTGTGAAATGGCTTCCATGTCAAGCAGTTTCGTTTTTATGAAGAATGTGCTGCAAACTTATTACTGTAAATCATTATCCAGCTGCCTTATTTTTGAAAGATATTTGTAGGAGCCAGAATTACTTTTCAGAATTGGTATTTTGATTTCCACATTATAGCAATAAGTGCTGGGGCACAGGGACTTTCCTGGCAGTTTGTTCCTGTGTGAAGAAGGAAACTGTACAGTTCTTTCATGTCTGTCCTACTCCTTAATGTATGAAATGAGAATAGACGTAGCTAAAAGCTCATATGATATTCTGATCCCATGCAAGCTGTACTGTAGCGTTACAAAATTGAGATTTTATCTCTATATAGCCTTACATGAAAAGAAACAACTCTCTTAAAACCCAGTAATGGCAATCAGAGGGAATACATTCCTCTTTCCTCATGTTTGCTTTTTTTTTTTTTGCCTCTAAATATAATGAAATGTGTATTGAAAAGGATTGGCAGAAAAGAAATAAGTTAGTAAATGAACTAACCCATTGAGGAACTGGTAACCCTGTAGTGAAAGAATTCATATATTGTCAGCTGAAATCTCAGAACTTTCTAAAAACTCCATAAATTACAATAATTTTGCTTGGGGTGTCTTTTTACATTCAAAAATCTGTTTTTACAATAATAGTTGTCAGGCTCTTCTCACGCCCAGTTTCAGTCATGGATGAGGGGGAAACACGTACCTTTTTCCTAGGAAAACAAACCTTTTGCAAGGCAGTTGTTGCTGAGCCCAGACAGAAGATGCCATACTATTATTGTTAATTTGTAGCTTTGATTATTTGTATAAGTAGGTTTCCTTCAATTTGCAGAAATCAGAGAGTAAACAGATATGCATGAAGACATTACATCGTTAAAATACATACTTTATTTTTAAATGCTCAGGATTTTTATCTAAAATCAAACTACAGTTCAGAAAATATGTCAGTCCTTTGTGTAATAGAATGTTTAGATTGCTCAATCACCACAGAGGCACATTTTTTCATTAAGCTGTAATAATGTCTTGGGTGCATTCATGGGCATGTGGCAGCCAGAATGAACAAGAAAAAAAAATCATCATTTACATGTTTCCCATGTTCTTCTGCCTTGGCAATTGTTTTGGAAGACAGTTTCATATTGTCTTTTAAAAAAGCAGTTACAAGAGTCCTATATGATTGTTTTGTGCTACACTTTAAACCACCTTACAGTGTTTGTAAAGAAGTGTTTATTTAGCAGACAAGCCACATTGCAGCATGGAAATCCTGTGAGTGGTTCAGGTCTTCTGAAGCTACAGGCCTTTGGTAGCCACACTGTGTGATGTATATGTTAGTGCCATATGGATGCTTCAGAATGAGCATCAGTGGCAGGTATATAACATAGGGTTCTCTATGTTGCAGCTTCTCAAATAGGAAAAAAATTAGGCAGTAACTTGGTAAGGCCTGCTTTGTAGAATTGTGACTTGGCAGTTTGGAGTACCTGCCAGTAATTTGTACTTTACTGAACTAGTGTATGAGTAGAGACTAGTCAAAACACAAGCACAGATCATGTCAGCTTTGTTACATTAGTGAGGTAGAAGAGGGCTTCAGAATGCAGGAAAAAAGTGAGTTTAGGATTCAGTCAGGAGAAGAAGAAGAAGAAGTGCTCTTCCTTGGTAGAAGAGCACTTTCTGCATGCTCTGAAAGTATGTGTGCACGTTCAGCTTCTTGAGTTGACAAGTATAACTTCTATGCAGGATTAAAACTAAAATGACAATTTGCAGTTCTAATTTGGAAACATGTCTCGGTTCCTTGGTAGTAAATATGGCTTGTACTTTTTCAGTGTGTGTTTATGTGAACAAACATGGAAATTCTGGGCCTCACCTGGATAAGAAGAAGGTTCAGCATCTTCCAGACCATTTTGGACCAGGTCCTGTAAATGTGGTACTTCAGCAGGCTGTGCAGGCTTGTGTGGAGTGTGCCTATCAAGCCAAAACAGTCTTTGGATTTCTGAAATCTGGCCATCATGGAGGGGAAGTGATAACTGGTATGTGAAGATGCTCTGTTTCTTTTGTTTCTTTACTTATTGAACTTGAGGTAGGGCAGAAGAACTGAAGTAGCTGCAATGAATTTATATCCCTTTTGTGGCTGTGTAAACACAGGTGTGAACCTTGATGGTATAGGATTTGTCTTACTCTTGAGTTCAGCATGATTTGAACAATTTTTTAAATGTAAATAAAAATATTATTAAGCATTTTTTTAAGCAATAGCAGTGTTTAGATTACAAATGCACAATACAGTTAGTTTCTTACACTAAGTAGAGCTTGTGTACCTCCTTTAGCAGCTGTAGCCAAACATTTGTCAAGTAAACTTACTACAAGTTAAATAATCAGCTTTATTAGTTCAAGTCATTCGCATAATCTTATCCATGCATGATGTTTGTGTTCTTAAAGCATTAACCAAGTGGGTGACAAGTCTCAAATTAATCTGTTTAGCTTCCAGGCAAGTGATTCCACATGTTAAAGTTGCTTCTGTTTTCCTCGCCCCATTCCCCAGAACTGCAGCAGTATCTTAGGTCACTCTTCATCCACCTAAGTCACCTATTATGAAATAGGTTTATTTCTATTACATATTGATGGCAGGTTTGTAGATAAATTATGTCTCAATCTGAATAGCTGTTGCTTGACATTTTTTCCTTCTAGGCTAGGAAATATTCTATGTATAACAGTTAACACATCAATTCATAATTCCATCAGTGGTGGTAAAAGACCTGCCATTCCTTTAATCTCTTAACATTAACACCAGATGTGATAGATGATTAGAGGAATAGAGGTTCAGTTAAATATTCATAAAGATGTTGCTGTCTAACTCTACTTATAAAGAGCAGCACCCCAACCTGTGTATGGCAGAACTACAGTGAGCTTTGCTTAGGCATCCCCCTGAGTTTGTGCACAAAATGGATGCTGCTTCTCTGCTGTGTAGTAGAGGTTTAATGGCATCATATATATGTAGTTCTGAAACTGGTACTGCTTTATTTTTTCAATATATATGAAAGTTTGTTACATTATTTATGCCTTGCTGTACCTATTTCAGACAAGTCAATTTTCTACAGCAAAATGCCCTGAGATGTTCGTTGCCAATATTCTGTTTGTGATTGTTTATCATCAAGGGCTAAATCACAGGCCAGTGGCATCTCTGGGCTGTGACTGAGTAATTGGAAATAATAACTTTGAACAGGAGAGAGAAATTTCAGATTCCTTACATAGTTGTGGCTTGTTTGCATTCAAAAATTCCATAAAAAAAGGATTTACTGTTGTGCACCTGGCTTCACCCCAAGGCCTGTATTCTGGATTTGAGGAACCTGGTGATGTGGACTGCTCCATAGGCAAGAATCCTGGTCTGGTTAATAGTAAGCCACAAGGCCCCAGTGGGTTTCTAGTGTTCTTGAGCTCTTGCTTCTCCTTGCTTGTCAAACAGGTAGCTGACAAGTGGCTGAGCAAACACTCCCTGTCATTTTATCAAAAATTTGTGTGTGGTAAGTTTTGTGAAGCATAAAATATGACTTAGATTAATGTAGCACATTACATCTAGCTGTGCACATGAATAGTAAGGAAGAAGAGGGAAGAAACAGTAGAATAAAATAAGGAAATACAGTTGTAGCCCTTTAGTTTTGAAGTGGGTTTGGAGGGTGGCTTGTTTTTCAGGTTTTGATGGGTTTTTTTTTTTTTTTTGAGACTGTCAATTAAAAAAAATGTTGTGGCAGAGAATAAACAAAGAAATCTAAGTCTTCTGTGAACTGATGCTTTTGTAGAAAGTATTATACCTGCCATAGGAGGAAACAGTGTGCTGAGGAGGATATGGATAAAATAATCTTGCCAGAATGCATGGAATAATTAATGGGTTCTTTTGCTTCAGCTACCAAAGAAAATAATTGTTTTGAGTAACATTAAATTTAGTATTTTTCAATCTTTTCCTTCTCAAACAAAAGCAAAACTATTTTATTTTTACTTAATGCATAAGCTTTCAATTCAGGCAAATAAAACAGAAAGGAAATTAAAGGCTTGATTAGCAAACCCACTAATGGTGGTGATGTCAGCTCCTTTTTTCTCTTTGTAGCACAGAGACTATGGTGTTTGGTGGGATGAAACAGATTGAGGCTCAGATAAATTTTCTCAAGCAGTGAATTAAAATCAGATTCTAGGATGAGTTTCATCACTATCAGAAAAACCCATTTCTCTGACTGTTTTCTCTGATTGTTTTGTTCTCAGTCTTTTTCCCAGCTTGAACCTGGTATGTAAAACATTTTTAAAGAATGGAAGGTGAAGAACGAGTATGACTCTTTATCCTGAGGGCTGGGGTTGCACGTGCAATCTGCAGTCCCTGTTTATGTATCATTAAAATTAGGTTATTGCCTCAGAGATACTCCTTTTTATTTTTTTCCCTTAGCATTTATCTGGGAAGTAGGCAGAGTAGACAGTTGAGCCTGTGGATCTGGATCCCACACCCGTGGTTGGAGTTTGTATGGTTGCCCTCAGATGTTAAGAGTCTGGGGAAACTGTGGTTGTACTGCATCTTTATTTGTGGATTTTTTTCAGGGAACGTTTTGGTGGGGCAGTCAAAACACCTCAGCTGTTTCTTGCTTTGTCCTCTTGACAACTCCTGAGTAACACTGTTCTTTTCAATGTTTTTTTTTTTTCAAAATGACAAATTAAGGGGTATAGAATAAGTCATTTCCCCAAAGGCCATATAGGAAGATCCATAAGGCTATTCTAGAGCATAATTTTCTGCTGTAGCTGACTACTGCCTTGCAGTAAATTTGTCAGGAGGTCAATCTATGGTAGGTCTCACAGCCCATTTGCTCTCCAGAACTGGTTGAGTTCCAAGCAAAAATTTGCTTTTGGAGACTCCTTCCCCAAACAGGATGTAGAGGACCTTGTGTCTGAGCGACATGAGGGACTGTTAATCATTAGCATTTCATTTGGACACTGGAGCCTGGAAAAAACCTAATAGGCCATGGAAACACTTCAGTCTTGTAGTACTGACTCTTAAACTTGAAGCACTTGAACTGGTCAGTCTGCTATGAAAGCAGGTGGGAGAGGCAGCACATTGTTGTTGATGCTGGCTGGTTAAGTCACATTAACCCTAATCAGAAGCTTCCTTACATCAACAGTGTAAATAATTGACACTTCAGATTTCCTAAAGAAGTCTAAAATATGCTAGACTTAGGCATTTTCTTTGGTTTTGTGTATATTATCTGTCTCTTTTGTAACAATATGGAAATATTCCTGAATTCAGATCTGTGAGTAAAGGCTTTCTTGTCGTTTCTGGCTTTTTTCTTTTTTTTTTTTTTTTTTTTTAGCATCTGCTACCAACAAAATGTGATCATTTAAAGCTCTGCTTATCATTTGGAAACTTATGTTAACAACAGAAAGCTGCATGACAGGCTGAAAACCAAAAAGACAAATTGATGCATAAACCTGGTGTTTATGCCACTTCTTTTCAGCCCTAAGCTTAAGTTGCGAGTTTGTTCCTGCTTTGTTCTAAAGTCTTCCTAATCACAAGTGACTAAAAATTTTAGCTGATGTAATGGTAATTATTTATGCATGTATCTGTAGTATTGAGTCTTTTCCAAACCTTACTAATTTTCACAAAAAAGAAAATTATCCTCAGCTGCCATACTGTTTGAGGGCAAGGAAAAGACATAGGCACCTGTCCAGACTCTTTGTAATCACTCAGTTTAAAAGACAACAGATCCATTTGTGGCTGCTGTGGTATCTCTGCCACCTAACTCCTGTTGAAATAAATGGGTGCTTGGCCACTGTAGTGTTGACAGCAGGATAGATTTCTCTAGGGATAAAATAGCAAATGGCAAAACAATTTCTGAGTCAAAATTTAAATGGTAGTGGATGCCAGCACCTTACCACAAGTATTCTCCATTCAGTTAGAAACCGAGAAAAAAAATACTAAAATGGTTTAATTTCTTTAGGGGTTTTTTGGCTTTTTTTTTTTTTTAATAACTGTTCAGGCTTTTTGTTGATTTTTTTTTTTTTGGAGGACTTTGGGGTATTTTTTTAGCAAGTATTGTAAAAGGTCTTTCTTGTGCTATCTTTTGCAAAGAGGTGGTGGAGAGCTTGCTGCTTTAAAAGCAATGGAAATTCCACATAAAGTGGTGAGGGGGTAGTTGTAAGTTTTGTTATACTGGTGTGAATCCAAAATTATTTTATTAAAATAAGTTCCCATAGAGCAAATTTAAACGGACATGGATCCCATTGAAGGTGAAATCAGTCCTTTGGATATAAATTTTTTTAACTATCAGAATGATTGTTTACTCCTCTCATGTCTTGCATGGTTTAAATCAAGTCTGGCTGTCTTCTCCTTTAAGTTAATGATGGTGTTTTACTATATTTCATGATGCTTGGGGGTGTTTGACATAATCTTCTTATTCACAGCTTCCTTTGATGGGGAAAAGCACACCATCAATCTTCCTTCTGTAAACAGTGCATCGTTTGTCCTACGCTTCTTGGAGAAGCTCTGCCACAGCCTTCAGTGTGATAATCTCTTCAGTAGCCAGCCTTTCAGCCCTTACATGGGATGTGCACATAGTCCTATGGAGTACGACAGGAATAAGCCAGGTACTGTTAATCACTTGTTTTCAAGTGCTGATATTTCTGAGAAACGTGGGCACTTTATGAAATGCTACTTTTTAGTCTTTCTGTGACATGAATTGCTTGCAATTAATACACTTCAGTTCTTAGTGAATTGGTTCTAGTGTGGAAGTGCTTTGACAGTAATGGATAGGTCATACCACATGTGCAGAAATAATTTTGTTGAGCAAACTTCTCCTTATAGGCAAGCCAGAAAACATATGTGCTTTACCACTGTGATACTGCTAAAAAGACAAGCTCAAAACTTCACATTTCATTTGTTAAATTTATGTTCAGCTCATAACCTAAATTTACCCAAAGATGCTTGCTGTCTGTGAGAAGGCACTTCCCCTGAAAGGGAGTTCAACAGAAGTACAAGGTCTTTTCTTTCTCTTTTTACCTCACTTAGGGGTGGCTCAAAATTTTTTACCTTCTACTATGTACAGTCCACTCATCTAGTAGAAAAACTTGTGAAATTGGCTGCTTGTGAAATTTTGTGTGAGTCCAATAATTTTGCTGCACCAGCAATGTAGAGTCAAGGGGAGATGCAATTGCTTGCCCAAGATCTCCCAATAGGTTGTTTGTAGGACTTGGTATTACAAGTCCCAGGATAAGCCAGCTGAGATAGCTTTGTTATCACAAGTCCCAGGATAAGCCAGCTGAGATAGCTTTGTTGTCACAAGTCCCAGGATAAGCCAGCTGAGATAGCTTTGTTGTCAAGACAATTTCACAGGACTTATACTGGCAAGGAAGCTTCCTCAGAGCTATTTGATAGCTGAGTCTGTATTCCGGGTGCTGCTGCAGAAATTTTTTTTCCTCTTTCCAATGCAGAAATTATGTTTATAATTCTATCTAATGTATGAAAGTTCTTAGTTTTAATTATTCAGGAAGGTAGACAGGATCAAGGTTATTCAGCTTTGAAATTTTGTATTGAAGTGACTGAGTCTGTGTGACACAAGAAATGGAAGGTGGATGGCTGATGTCTGTCTTTGCTTCTGTCTCTGGACTTAGCCCATGAGCAGCTTTATGCTAGAATAACAGGTAGTGACTTTTCCTCTTCACAGCCAAAGAAGAAATACCTGAAAACAGGAGTGCTAAACGATACCCTCAGGACTCTCCACCATACACTGCTCCTCTTTCCCCTAAGCTTCCCAGAAACGATGCTCATCCATCTGAAGGTAATTGCATTATGTCAGAATTATATATGAGGATTTTTTATGGTTTCAGTATTTCCAGTCAAAAAGGACTGAGTACAACATATGTATCTGGTTTGTCTCTAGCCTGTGACAGGTCAGGGTGGAAGTATGTTACTTATTGATCACTGGCACAGATTTTGCACTTAAGGAAGATCTACTGCAAGTTCCAGCAGTGCTTCTCCTAAACCCGCAGCCTTTTCTGTGAAGGGGCTCAGGCACACAGGTGACAGATGAAGCTTCCTGCTCCATGTAGAGCTACTGAGCCTAATACCAATTGCCTTGAAATGGGTTAGGAGATAAATTGGAAGCAACTCTTAACTCTAGGCAGGGTTCATTAAGTGAGTAAGGGTGCAGTTTGATGATACAATTCAGCTGATTGTTCAGTTACACAATTCATGGCTAGCTGCTAGTTGAAGTTGTGCTGCTCCTGCTTTCCTTGCCCCCTTGTCCCTGCAGTGAGTCCTAGTCCACCCCCTGCTCCCTTTCCCTGGCTGGGTAGTGAGCTGAAGCAGTCAGCAAAATCACAGAAAAAATTCTGGTGTGGTCTTGTTTTACTTCTCTGGAGTGACTCTCTGTGGACTCAGATGAGCACAGGGAAGGCTTGCGTGGAAGGCAGCCATGGCTAGGGGAGTGGTGTGACCCCCCTGTGACAGCTCACTCTTAGGTTGGTGTAGTTCACAGATAAAATAATACTTTTTCCTGTGCTGCAGCTCAGCTGTAGTAACTGAGCACATGTCTAGTCTTAGTCTGCCTCAGATGTGAAGTAAAGCATACCTAGGTTTAAATGTCAGTGAGGGAGACACAGAAAAATGGTTGAGTATTTGCTACTTAACTGTTTAAGACATGGTAATTGGATGATACTGACTTATCCCATCTGATACATACTTTCTCTTGCAGCAACATACTTGCACATAATTTCTAAGTGCTTTTTTTGAAGAATAATGGGGATTAGTAATTTTTTCCTCCTTTTTTTCTTTCTTTTTGTTTGTGACCTTGAAATAATTTTGTATCTGTTACCATGAGTGGGGGCAGGATATCTGTTCTGTGCATATTAAAAAGCCATAAGACTGCAGTTAAAGCAGAAAATGATGTAAAATTAAAATGTTCCAAATGGTATCTTATTTAAAATTATACATCTTATTATGTGGTGTATATATAACATATTCGCATTTTTATATTTCCTGTAGCTGTTATTATACACAATTCTGCATTGATTTTTGACTTCTGTGTCTTCACAAAAGAAGTTCTGGTTTAATTCCAGAGATACATTATATATCTAAGTTATATTTCTGGTACTAACATAGTAAGTGTGGAGCACTTAATAACGCTCAAATTAAGTTGCTTCATTTGGAGCAAAACAAATGTTTAAGTAGATCTGAAGTATCTTGTGAGAAATCTTACTCAAGTAAACATGAGTGCACATACTGCTTTTTATTCCTTGTTTGCTAGCGGATCTTCTACAGATGGAGTCAGGGTACCCTTTAAAATACTTTTTAAGATTACTAGTTCATTGTAAAATGCAGTTACTTGAATAAAAAGTAATTAAAGTAAGTATTTTTCCATAGTTTCAGAGGTTTGAATTTGTACTTTGTATATTTTAACAGGCAAAGTGTTCTCTAGCATTGTGTGTTTCCCATTAGGACAATGTCCTCTGCTGAAAATCTGGAGGCAATTTTGTAGCGGTCAGTCATGGGTTGGTTAACAAGAAAGATCTGCCCCTAAAAAGTTCTGGTTCCATTGAGACACAGTTGTCTTAAAATAGTTGTTTTGAAATATCATTTGAAGGCAAAATGGATTAATTGTGGGAAAGTCTTTCAAACAGCTCGTTTTCCTTCTGATCTGCTCAGGGATATGCTTTGCAGGTTTTGCTGCCTTTCTTGCTCACTAACAGTTTCTTCTTAAAGTTACGAAAGATAAAGAAGGAGGGAGTGGGGAATAATTCAGACTCCCTTTCCCTGAAAACAGAGTGTTCCTACTACTGTGTCCAATTACATCATTTTGTTATGTATGAGACAGAACAACTGGCTTCTAATTCCCAGAAGAGCCTCAAGAAAACAAAACATCCAGTTCCTGCTAAGGCTTCAGTGCCTAAACAGTCTGCTGTCATCCCTAAATTTGAAACTTAAGGCCCCTTACTGGCCTTTCATTAATCTACCCAGAGGTCAGGCATTCTGCAGTGGAACCTCCCATCTCCTTCCATACCTCTGTTATTCACAGCTGCTCAAAATGCTGAGGTAGGCAAACTGTCACTCCATGGATTGCAATGCTCCATTTCCTGGATGCCAATTTTGCTGCATTTTGATTGTAGAGAAGCTGGATAGATGGATTGGAAAGTGGATTCAATACTATAGCTACTGAACAGAAAGCCTTACACAAAAAAAGATGGGAAATATATGCTAGCTTTTCCACTTTGTGTATATGAGTTTAGAATTTACAGTAAGATAAGTTAAAAGGCTGATGTCTTGGAGGAAAAAATCAGAATTGATCTTTCCCAAACCTAGTATTTGCTTCAGAATATATAATATCAGAGGGAAACCTGGGATATAACTGGAATGAATGCAATTAAGTTCTTTTGTAATACAGTCAATTTTAAACATTTTTTCCTACAGAAATCTTGACAAAGATAATGTAAGCCAATTATTAAAAAATCAAAAAAAACCACCTTTATTTGGATTCCTGCTAGTTTACCATTAAAGCTTTAAAAATGTTTTTTCTTATTATGTTACATGGAGTTGGCTGGTACATGCTTTAATATTCCAGTTGAAACTCTCTACTGGGGAGTGTTGCCTGCATTGTTTCATCCTACCTTTCAAGACTTCTGAAATCTGAATGTACAGGTTCAATCAGTTACACCATATGCTCCTTCATACAGCTTTGCTGTAACAATTTAAGGTATCACCTCTGCCTTTCAGCCTTGCACTGAGATGTGGTTTCATTCTCTACAGCTCTAATTTTCCTTTGGTTGGGTGCTTTTTAATTTTATAGTGTACACCATTGACTTTATATCCTAAAGTCTCTCTGAAATTCTGTGGAATGACACCTTTTGTTTTTAATCTTGGTGAGTTGCTTTAAGTACTTCTGAGAAATAGAAAGGCTTTTATTTTCTTTCTTCAAAAACCTCAGTAACTTCTTCTTTGCTTTTGTGATTCAGGTCTTACAAACTAGAACGTTTTGCAGCAGTTATTTTGCAAGTTATTTGTATGAAAGAGAAGGACTTGTATCCATAAAAGCTTCTTTATTCCATGACTGTCAAATTTAGTAAAAGGTGTTATATCACCTTGCAGATAAGGAGTCCAGGAACACTGGACATAAAGATACAGGAGCAGGCTGTCCTCACATGCTGAAAGACAAGCATGCATTGAAGAAGACTGTCCTGGCTGAACAGAAAGGTTTGGCTGGAACTCAGGAAAAAAAAAGGACTTTGGAAGAAGGGGCAGGAAAATCAGAAGGACTACAAGGATATTAGGTTATTTGGGGCGAAAATTAAGCCACAAGATTAAAGCCCACATAGAACTTTATCTGGCTACTGCCATAAGAGACATGAAAATTTTTGTCTCATTTTTCTCAGCAGTCAGGGGAGGGCTAAGGAGAATCTCAAGCCTTTATTGGATGTGGGGAGAAACAAAGTGATGAAGTTTGAGGAAGGCTGTTTGAAGTACTTTATGCCTCCTTTTCCCCTGTCTTTTGTACTAAGTTCAGTTGTTTACATGTACCCAACATCCTGAACTGGAAGGTAGTGGTGGAAAGCAGTAATGATTGAAGCCCCCACAATCCAAGGGAAAATGGTCACTACTTAAGATGTGCACAGGTCTAGGACCATATAAAATCTGCCAAGGAGTACTGAGGGAGCTGGTGGAAATGCTCACCTCCTTTCGCCTTACTGTGCTCTATAGTTGTGTGAAAGGAGGTTATTGGGAGATGGGAATTCATATCTTGTCCCAATTAACGCTTCTCCCAAGCAATAGGGCAAGAGGAAATGGCCTCAAGTTGCACGTGGAGAAGTTCAAATTGGGTATTAGGAAAAGTTTCTTCACTAAAAGCTTGTCAAGCATTGGAACAGGCTGCCCAGGGTTGGGTCATCATTCCTGGGAGTATCTAAAAGTCACATAGGTGTGGCTCAGTGGTGGACACAGTGGTACTGGGTTAAGAGTGGTCATTGTGGCTTCTTCCAGCCGAAACGATTCTGTGGTTCCATTCTGTGGTCCTGTGGTCTTGCCTTACCGAATTCATTTAGTAGGGAGCTGGCTCTCTGAGAGCCTTTAATTCCCTTTCATGGTTATGCTGTTAGAAGGTCAAAATACACATAAACAGTTCTTCACTGTACTTCACTTCAAACAGGATTCAGAAAGCAAACCTGAGACCTCATGAAGCAAGGTGCAAGCATGCTTGAGAAGGTCACTGGGTTATTTAGGAAAATACTCTTCCTTTGGTTTTAATTGGGCATTTGCCCAATAAATTCTTGAAAGTTTTCATATAAAAAAGGTAGTAAAAATCTTGTTTCAGGAACTTGTTTTGCAGAACATACCAGTTCTTATTCCAAAGAATATGCTGCCTTGCTAGCATATGTTTTATAACTTCAATAGAGTTATTTTCAAGATGGTAGTGTGGGGCTTACACTTCTGTGAACCTGTTAGCTATATTTTTCCAGCTTTTAACTCTCCTGCCAAAGCAGCATTTGTTTCATACAGATTTGTACATCATGCTTCCAACTTCTTTCTTGTGCTAGATTTTGTCTGTTGCAAACTGAGGAGAATATCTATGATTGCTAGAGAATGGAATGATGCTCCTGTTGATTTGGGGTTTTTTCCTCACATAGCATGCTTCTCTCAAACAGACCTGAATTGGGCTGAAGAGGAGTGGAATTTTCAGTAATGAAGCAAACCTGGGTCTCATGGCCCAGGGAAAGGGACATGCTGAACTCCACTCATGTGGCTTAGAATGAGTATTGACAGACTTTAAAAGTTCACAAGTCTTCTGAGTGGATGTTGTTTTTCTTTTGTAAAGAAAATTTTATAAATTTGCTGAAAAGACATAAGAACTAGAATATTGTTATACTCCCCCCACCTGAGACTTCACTTTTTTTTTTTTTTTTTAACTTGCTCTGTGGGTTCAGGAACTTACCTGTATCTTTAGATTTCCAGAATCTGCAGTTAAGAGACCTTGAAACCCTGCCCTATGCAAAGAGCTGGGTGCAGATAAAGCAGGGTGGTCAAGACACGTTACATTAGTGTGCCGTACCAGGCACTCACAGCCTCCTGTGGCTTTGCCCGTAACCTCTTCCTTTTTAATAATGGCACCTCTGTCTGAATCTGTTGGGGTCCTTAGATAATAATTGTCCACTTGTTTTCTTTATGAGGTTAGTTAACTCCCTCTGCTTTTTAGAACTTACTGAACAATTGTTAGTTGACATGAGGGTTTTTTAATATTAAAGTCTTGCAAAATAAATGCTGCATAATATTAACGGTTGGCTTTTTAGTGATATGTTTAAAAAACAATGAAAATTCTTGACTAAAATTATTTAATGTATCAATATTTACAGCAGACAATTTTATTAAAAAAATTTCTCTGTCATTTCTCTGCTCATAGCTTTCAGTAAGTACAACTGAAATGATTAATGGAAGAATGTCTCAAACTTGACATATTAAACCTTTTGCTACAAAAATAATGTTTGAAAATATAATAAGAGCCCAATGATTAGTTGAGGAAAGGGACTAATCCCAGTGATTAGTTGAGGAATGGGACAATCACTGTCCCATTCAGTCTCAGTGATTGTTTCACAAGAGATTTGTTAACAGGATTACAATCTGTCAGTACCTTCAAGAGAACATAGCAAGGCCTTAAGTAACAAAGCTGTAATGTCCATCACTTTGAACATATTGATGCTTGCTTTTTGTGTAGCAGAAACATTGCCTATAGAGGAAAACAGCACTTCCAAAGATCACCGATTTTCTGAGGATTCTATGGATTCTGCACTTAATTCTGTAAATCTGTCAAACCCAACCTGTCGAAATTCCACAGAGTACCGCACTTCAGGAAATGCTGCATATTACAGAAATTCCCATCAGCCAGCAACTGCTACCTCAAATTCAGCCCCAGTCCTGCGCAGGCTGTCCCTGAGCTCGGCTGGCAGCAGTGGTTACTATGAAGTCAGCAGGAATCGGATACAGAGGCGGATTGAAGGTATGCTGTCACACAAAACCTTCCAGAATATGTAACTGCTTCAATTAACACGCAGAGTTATGAATAAAGAAGTTCTTTGTCATTGGAGATATTGCATATGGAGTGAAATGTGCTGTTGCCAAGCTTGTCAGGCTTGCTAATGTAACTGCAAATACAGTACTCAAGCCTGTTAGTACTAATAGTGTAGTGCAAGCAGAGAGGTCCTTGCTGCTGCAGCTGCTTCTTGCTGCTGTGATGGACGCTGCAGCAAGCCAGAGCAGGGATAGCTATATGCAGCTCACTTCCTGAGCATCTTAACAAGTATTGCCATGTTGCTGAAATACAAGGATAGGGTTTCCTACTGTCACTCCCTCTGTCTTCACAGCTTCACTTGCCTTTGCCTCATTCCCAGTTAATAGCATCTTGGGACCCAGGAGCCAAGTACAAGTAAAACTAATCCCTCTAGGTATGTCACAGTGCTAATGTTTGTGCTGCTGTATTTGCAGTTGTAGAAATCATTTAAAGACAAAAGGAACCGTTCAGTATTATTAGAAAGAAAATAAAGCATCTTTTCATTTTAATATATTTCAAACAATGCATAATAAATGTTGTAAGGTAATATTAAAGTGTCTTATGTGAAATGAAATATGTTATCCATCTACAAACTAGTGATACTTCTTCTTTTCACAATATTTTTGTATTAAAAGCTGCAAGCTCCACAACTGGACCCGATTTGAATTCACTAAAAAGGGAACCTTCAAGAATAGTGAATAAGGATCCTTCCACCTGGTCAATAGAGGAAGTAGTGCATTTTGTGAAAGAAGCTGATCCACGGGCACTGGCTCCACATGCTGAACTCTTCAGGAGACATGTATGATGCTTGTCCATTCTGTTCTAGTAGATGGACAGTTGTGTCATGTCTATCAGTCTGTTTGCAGCTGGAGGTGGAGTAGACTCTCCTGATATAATAGAGAGAGGTGGAAACTTGCTTTTCTACCTGAAACCCCTCCTGCAGTCTATTTTCTCTTTCAGTCTTGCTAGACTAACATAAATAGCCACCTCTTCCCAGTGTATGTAGAATAATGCCTACCTGGAAGAGCCCAAGTTCTAATGGCCAACATCCGTGGCACCCCTGTCCTCCCTGGTGCCTCTAGAGATGATGGCGTTGTCATGTGCAGTGCGGGACACTCGGTCTCCCTGTTTGGAGACTTAATCTTCTGGAGCAGAGATGATGTTATCCATTGTTAGCTAGGCACTTGATCATTGATACTAAAATCCTGAGAACTGAAATAATTAATCGGTTTGAGAAAACAATGTCTAAGGGCTTTATAGGTCTGACTAGATGCTATTTTTAGAGACAGAAACTGTATCAGTTTGTGGTAGGTTTGATTTCCCCTATTTCTTCTTGCTGTACCTTTCTATGGTAGATTGATCAGTAAAGGGCTTCTTTCTTATTTTATTTCATATATGGCCCTCCAAAAAAAATTGGCTTTCTCTTTAGTAGTATTTCACCTATCTTCTGCTCCAGCTCCTCCTAACAGTTTAATATCTGAGTAAGCTGGATTGGAAGGAAAAATCAAAAGAACTTCTGATGGAGATTCCTTCTTATATTTTATTCTTAGTTGTATAACAACAGTAAATGTCACTTGTTTTGTCTATGTTTAAAAAAATAAGACAGAGTGTTTCTCTTAATGGTGCTTTATGGAACTAATTGCCTGTCTATGGTATGTAATGATACTAACAGCTTAGGACTGTCATATTTCAGCAGATTCTCAGTCAGACAGTTGAAATCTGACTAAGTTGTCCTTGGTCTTGATCCTGACAATCTCTTTGGTTCAGCATGGAAATAGATCTGTCTAATTTCCCATATTTAGATGGTCTCTAACCCCTTCCTTCCTTTATGTGACCATTTGCACCTGCATGCCAAAATCCTCCCACAGCTGTTTTCAAGGTTCAGTGCAAGGCCTTGGTGCTTGGATCATATAATCTCTAACTGCACAGATCTTCCTTTGCAGATTCTTTTTATTTTTCCCCTTGACCCATTCACTTTTTTTCCTGGCTGGAAATGCTAATTCTGAGGACTGTTCGGTCAGTTTCTTTTATTTACTATCATTATCTTTCTTTAACATCTCAAATACTTAATCACACATTAAAAAATACTAAAACAAATTAAACTTCAGTGGTCATCTGTAAATTCAAACTTACAGTTGCTGTTTTATATATAGTAGATATATTTTTACTACAGTATAACCAACTATCATGTACTTTCCCATTTTACCATGCAGCTTGTTCAAGTAGTTGTCTATTGTGTTTATTCTCTTCCTTCTGCAGGAAATTGATGGGAAGGCACTACTCTTACTGAGGAGTGATATGATAATGAAGTATATGGGACTGAAACTGGGGCCTGCCCTAAAGTTGTGCTACCACATTGAACGACTTAAACAAGGAAAGTTCTAGCCAGTGAGGATGCCACAAACGTGTGTTCGGATCACACCAAGCTCTCAGGTTCACAGCCATCGCCTTGATTTGAAACGCTTTTGCTGATATAAACCTTTATTTTTTGAAAGTGGCCTCGAATTGTGAAAGAGACATTCAGGATAAAGGGGGGGAGGGATTTGTATTACATTCTAGTATTTTTGCAAACTGTTTCACAGAAAGTTGGCAGGGAAGGACAATTGATCATACTGGGTGTGGGCAGGTCTGGTAACAATGCTCTCTGAATCCTGAAAAGTGTGTTCTATGTTACAGGCTTCAGCCAACGTGTTCATATCCAGAACCAAAACAGCTGAATCCCAAAGGGAAATAATAAATTAAACCAGCATCAGGTGTTAATAATTTTTACCGGGGTGGCTGTAAACTTTTATATTGCAAGAAAATCTTAAAATAGAAGATTTCATCTCTGTAGTGAATATTCTGGTCTTTCAGAAGAGAGGAAGGGAAATGGAAGAGAGGGCTTAATACAAATATAAGCTTTTATAAAGTGTGATTATCAGTCCTTTGGGAAGTTATGAGGACAAATGTATCATATTGTCAGTTTAGGCAGGCAGTAAATATTTCTGTTTCATGGAAGATCGTATTGGCTGTATAAACAGCCATTTCTGAGACAGACTGATTTCACTGGAATAATGTATCCACATATTAAACATTCCATCTTTTTGCTAAGTTTGGCATGGATGTGTTCATGCTTTTTATATGTACACGTGTATGTGTCAGGGAAATACATACTATATAAAAATATACATACACACTGTACATATATTTTCAGTTTTTTAATGTGTACTTTGCACTGTGCCAGAGATAACTGTACAATTTCTTGTTGTTTTTTTTACCAGTAAATTTAGTTTTGTATTACTTTCATTAGCACCTGTTTAATTTGTTCTTGGAGTCAGAAGGTGACAAACAATCAAAAGGTGTTTATATTCATACAGGCAAGGTCCCTGTACTATGCAATACTCCTGGTTATTCATCCCTTAACTCTGAGCCATATATTCTGATATATATTTGGAAAGACACATTTGGTTCCAATGTTTTGGGTTTATATTTCCTGTGAGGAAGTGCTACTATGTAACTGATAAACCTTTTTTTTGGGTAAAATTGGTGCTGTTTTTATAAGCTGAAAGAATGAGTGGTGATAATAAAGCAGTTTGTTGTCACTGCCAGTTGTAAAATACATCAGGGACAAGAAAATATACTTTCTGTTTAGAAAACTGAATGTACTGTATGTAATAGTCAAGTGATAAAAACTGTTTGTTAGGGAAGGTGTAGTCCTAAAATGGTAGGATTTATTATATTTCTTAATGCCTTTTTATTTGAAAACATACAGTATAAATGTATTTTTTACACATTCCTTTTTTGAAAATTACTTTCTTTACCCATAGACTGATACTCAACAGATTTCAGCAGAGGTACTGCTAGAAAACAGCAAATTTTGTGACTCAGAAGTCCAAGTATTTTGTTATTTTAAGTGACTGCAATGCAATTTCAATTCAGAAAGTCGTTTGGGCCCTGAGAATTGTTTTTGTTATTACATCATTAGACATTTGACACTAAAGTTTATCTGTATCAATTTGTTTTGCATATCTTTCATGGTGCATGTATGCTTAGATGATACAATACAGGCATGCTTTTTATGATAAGAAAATATCAGAGCATTGATTGAAGAAACAGAGTATTTTCTCTTGGTGTTAGAAAAATATTGGCTTAACTTTCATATGGTTACACCAAAAATTATATATTAATGAAATCATCATGCCCCATGTGTTCAGTATATTGTTTATACATATATATAATTGTATACTACTTCTTCTATGCTTTATTATGCTGAATTTGGGTTCTTCAGCATAAAAAGATCCCATACAATTTAAGTGGAAGTAATTGACTGAAAACAGCTTTCATTTTTTATGTTGCCCTTGGCATAAGAAAAACAAAGATGTTTGAATTTTCTGTTTGGTCTTTTGTACATGGCACTATTATGGGTATAAATATTTGTTCATGGCATTCTGTGTACCCATGTGCACAAAGATAACTGTGATGTTGCTGCACCAGAATTTCACTGTGTGCTGTTGCGTGAGATTCAAGCATTCAGAGTCTTACAGCAGAATATATTTTTATTCTTTATTTTCACTGGGATGTTCTTATCTAGCAAGAAAAATAAAATAGTTTGTTCATTGTTGTAAACTGTCCGTTCTGTTTGATGCTGTGTGGATGTGTGAGTGCTCTCTGCATAGGCAAGGGTGGCTGTCTGATCTGGCACTTGGCAGTTCTTGACAGCTCCTGGAAACATCTGCAATAAGGAGGTTTTAATGAAAGGGGTAACCTTGTTCATCTGAAGCAATTAATGTTTGAATTTGGGTTGTTCTATGCTTTCAAAGTAAGATCTTATCTAGTTATTCAACTATTTATTTGGTATATCTTGTTTTGCAACTTAAAGCTTACAGAATTCTCATATAACCACGGAGGGGAAGAGACTGATAAAAACTGTTTGTGGTGTGTTCAGATGAAGATATGAAGTATTTTAACTCAAAGCAGTTAATGGCAGTAAGTTTGAACTTTGTAGACTTCAAGCTTTCTTATTTCTGTGATACAGAAGTCTCTTGTTCCAGTGACTGTTATCAGCAATCAGCCAGTACCTGAGAAGGAACTTGGATTGGGTTAATGGTAACCTCACAACCATCTCTGGCAGTTGATGAAAATTGGAAGTTGGCAGTACCAGTAGTCCAGAGGCATTTTGGATCTGATCTCTCCCAGAACATATTTCATATGTTTTTGGTGTTTGATACACAAGACAATATGATTTAGTCTCTCTGTTTCTCCAATCTGCCTTTCTATCAACATGGATTCATCTGTTTATCTGGTTTTGTAACTTTTGGGCATCTTGGAAGACAGTGCCATAACTCAGTGCATCATGGGACTATTGGAAATTAAAATACTGCTGCCTGGGAGGACTAGCAGATCTAAAAATTATTTTTGCAGAACACCTATGCAATAGTGGAATTGAAGAAGGCTGGAGGGTAGACTGTGGCAGTACACATATTGAAGGACTTTTTCACACATATGTAGGAACGACAAAGACAGCAATATCATATTACAAATGCTGGCTTGAAGGATGGAGCATCTTCCCATTTTTTGTTGCTTTAGATAAAAAGACACCATTTTTTATTTCAGGTGGTAGATATCGGCACAAAGATGTTAATCTGATTACTCATTATATTGATAGGAACTCTTCTTCCTCTGCAGTCAGGGATATAATTTGCAAAAAGCGATGTTTACCTTCTCTGTAGCTCTGACAGTTTTACGTGAGTCTGTGGATGTGATTATGTAAGCCCTGAACATGATACAAAAATTCTAAATTTGAGTATCTCAAATATTTTTGTAGGGGAAAAATGAGCCCTGTGTGAGGATGGCTAAAATCTTGAACTTTTAACCTGATCAGATGAAAGTTTCTTTGTGCTTGTCTTTCCTTTAATTTAAGCTGAAATTTAGAGAACTGAAATACAGGTACACTGAGGCAAAGCTGATATTCAGTAATTCAGCCTTTTCCACGTTCTTTGTAATGAGGTCCCCCACCTCATTCAGCAGTGGGCCCAAGTTTTCCCCAGTCTTCTTTTGTTAGCTATAGAATGTTGTCTATTTTAATGCAGGATCATGGAGAGAAACACATTTTAAAAGGGAGAGATAGCAGTATTTTTTTCTTTGATTGACCAGCTAGTTACATAATAGAGTAAAATGAACGAAGAGGTGTGAATCTCTTCTAAGTAATGAGCGTCTTCATCTTTTTGTCACTCTTTCTGCTGAGTTGAGGCTGTGCAGAGTTGCACACTGGCTTGGCTTGAAGAGGAAAAAAGAAAAAAGAGAGACCTCCTTGAGATCAATTTCAAAGGTCATATATTCCTCCTCTCTATCTTTATTACATGTAAAACCGTGGGAGTGAGTAAGAAGTGCTCATTTGGAACTGCCTAAGAGTGATGCAAGGAGGCAGAAGCTGATTTCATGTCCATTTTAGTGGTGAAATGATTGCTGCTTCTTTTTCAAGCCTTGATTCATCTTTTGCTCTGTAAAGCTTACTAACTAGCCCATAATCCTGGGATTGTGTTCCCCAACTGTCAGTGTTCCTGTTGTTTCAAAGGTCACGCAGAGCCATTTTGAGACTTGTTAAAATCTGAAGAGTCTGTTGTAAACTCAGTGTTGTGAGTCTGCAACTGAATACATAACATTTTATATATATTTCTAGTTTTTTTTTTTTTTAGTGTGAAAACTGCAGAGATAGGGTTGGGGGGTTATTTAATGGTGAAATATTTTGCCATTTTGTTCTCTGATGGTTTGTTCTAAATAAATCTCATTATTGTGGCTGTGGTAGATGACAGGAGTCCTATGAGTACTTAAAATATGCCATTACAGTGATCCAGCGAGCTTTTAAATTCCTCGCTTGCATAATCATCCATCCCTGTCCTAGCAGATAATTTTGATTAGCTGTAATTTGTCCCATTTGAATCAGAATTAGCTCCTATCAGCTCCAGAATTTCCCAGTCCTGCTGTACATGCTGAGGAGTCCTGCAAAAGCTGCTTCTCCTCATAGCATTATGGACCACTGCTAGTTTTAGTTCAGCTTTCATTGACTTGCTGATAGCAAAGGCGGCACACCTCTACTTCTTTTCTTTTTAAAATACATGAAGGCATTTTCATCCACAGAGATTCACCTTTCAGCATCTGAAATCTAAGGCCTTTGAGGGCACACAGCACAAGCAAACAGATGCCAGCACTAGGGGAAGGGGAGATTGCATCCCATGTTGTCTGAACAGACAAGCGTGAACAGATGTACAGCTTGAAGCTGGCAGAAACCCTCTCTGCCAATGGTTCCTTTCTAGTTGTGACAGCTGGAAGAAAACGAATATGCCACAAAACTACCATAACAATTGCCATTACCCTGTGTTGACTGTCCCAGCTCTGAGGTCCAGATCTGGAAAGACAGACTCATCTACCCTTCCAGGCAGACACTGAGGCAATTGGCAAGGCAGTGGGAAAAAACATAATGAATGGTGGTACACCTTAGAAAGTCTGGTGTTCAAATGCAAGATATTATGATTTTACTGAATATTTTCCCTTTCTCATATTTAGTTTTTTTTTAGTAGTTATGGAGGCACTCTGTTTCCCCAAGCAATTGGGCTAATGCTGTCTAGATTACCAAGAGTGAGGTTTTCAAACAGGTCTGAACTCTTCCACAACTTCCATCTCTCCAAATTAGTGCTGCAGAACATGTTTCCTCTTATTGAAGACCCTTTTGAGGGAAGGATCTTCCCATGTGCTTCTTAATCCTGCATGTTATAAAAAGTAATGGAAGGAGTCTGCAGCTTTGGCTTGCTTTATCTCTGATATGCCAGTGATTGCTACTGATTTCAGCCCTTGCCTGGGGATGTACATGGTACTCTGTTATGAACAGATGCCTCTCACCTGCACAATGTTACTCAAGGTATGATCTAAAAAGTGCTTTTCTTTTTAAATCCCTGTGCTTATATGAGCAAAATTGTGAGAAATTAATAAATAAATGCTCAGTTTTAGTCAACACTTGGTTTATGCTTGTACTTTAGGGGTGAAATGGAACATAATTGCTAATAATTTTTATATTGGAACATAATTGCTTATTAGGTTCAGTGGGTAATGGGACAGGGGGCAGGTTTTGGTGGTTGGTTGGCTTTAGCTTGGTTTTTTTTTTTTTTTTTTCTTTTGGTTTGTGGTGGGGTTTTTTTGTCTTTTTTTTTTTTAACCTGACTTTCAAGAGGGCAGCTCAGCAAAAGGGAGCTATATGGCTTTCATACATCTTTGCATTCACTGTAATATATTAATTGTAATTGCCTGGGTGGTGTTTGGCTACAGGAAATGAACAGGTTGGGGAAAGTTTAAATATTTTGAAAGAAAACAGAAATGCAAGGCTGGGATGAGTGATAGGGTTTGCTTGCAATAAACATGGGAAGGAAAATACATGAAGAATGAAGTAATGGAAAATTAGGAAGGAGAAAACCAGGTGGATATATCAAGATAAACTGTTTCAGATTTATAGATGATTTGTGTCTTTGACTGTTCATGTTAAGCTGGGATTTTTAATGGGAAAGTTAGGAATAAACATTTTGAACCATGTCAGGGATGTGAAGTCTTATCTTGACATGCTTTTATCTGAAAACAAGGGATGAATCCTTGTAATTCCCAACCCAGGTTTTGGGACATACACTCTCTGGCCTTTAATTGTTTCTTAGATGCTGCTAACAACTCACGCTTAGTATGACTTATTTTAAAGCCAGATCAGTTGAGGAGCCAAAACCTGGGAATACAGGCTTGGGTTTCACTTAATGTAACTTCATTTCTTGATGTCATAGTTGTCCAGACTCTTTCTGAATTTAGTCCATGGGAGTTGAAGGTATGAGTGATCTGCCCAAATACCAACATCTGCTTTACAGAGATTTCTTGACTCTACTGGTTTTATTAGTCACTTTCTATCACGGGAGTCTCAATACCCATTTCAACTTAAGCACGTGACCTAATTCCCCCCCTAAAGTTCTCTTCATTGCAAGTAAGCTGGAACAGCCCTCTTACTCTACTCCTTCATTGGAAGACCTAGTTGGCATTGAGAAGCAAATGTTCAGGTGCACATTACAGTAACCAAACAATGTTGGCCAGGTCCCGTGTTCTTCCACAGGAGGTCTGGCTTTAAAGTCCAGTTGTTCAGAATATCTAGCCAAAATTCTGTCTATAGAGAATATTTGTGCTTTCTTAGATCTTTGTTATTGCACAGAATGCTGTGTCCAAAAGCAGATGGCAAGCACTTAAATATTCTGTTGGTGTCTTTAAAGCCCACTCTGACCCCTTTACACAAATACAGGTGATTCTAGGTGACTGTGGCATATGCATCACTGGGCTGGAAGATTGAGTGTGGTGGCTTTGTGTCATCATGGCTGGGTGGTGGAGGCTCTCTGAAGGGTAGGTACATGCTCTCATGCTGGATTGTGCTCTGTGGACCAACTTTCAAAGTACTTATTTTGAAACATTTGTTAAAAAAATAATGTACTGACCTTTATAACTTTGAATGCAAGTAGGTTGGGTTTGGGGTTTTTCTCCTCCATAAGCGAGAAGTTACTTGTGTATCAGAAACTTCAAAAATTAATAGCTTTCCCATGCTTATTGGTGGT